AATAGAAGAATACAACCATTTAGGTGAATAGACAGCTGGGCAAATTTCCTGCAGGTAGGCTATGACTAGTTCATGTTGACCTCCCCCCTGCCTTTAGTAGTAGCACTCCACGGGACCATACCAAGCTCAGCATTCATACTCATTATTAAACGCTTTGATTGACCGGGGAATTCATCGGAGTTAAATTGGCGTGTCAAGTGTGGTTCGGCCAGCAGGAATAAAATGCATGTGTGGCGGCATCCGTATACGGGGAGCTTTATAGTAGATCAGACACTTCTTCACAGTCGTCTTGGTATTATCTTGCTACCGGTATACACTACTTGAGGGAGAAAAAGAGTAAGATTGAAATAGGACGATTGAGTTCCGTTAGCGATCGGTGAACGTTAATCAAAGAGTTTCTATGGGACACGTTTTACATAATGTTATCAAATTCATACGCAAGTCTTGACTACCACCTGGGAATAGTAATTGCAATCGTCGTTCATGTGGACCAGCTATCGATCCACTGAGTGTACTGGAAGAAATATGCCTACATTGTATTTAGACTTACATTTGAAGTCAGATCTTGGAAAATAGGTGCTATAGAACTCTCTGTTATGGCGTTTAATTGCACAACAGTTTCCCCCCTCGCGTGTATATATTATGCAGCCATTTTTTACATGGAGCACAATTCTCGCCAAACATTCAGGCTACAGGACTGACCGCAATACCTGGCATGCGTTCGTCTCAGATCAGGTTGTCGCTACTTCCCCAGGAAGCATTCTCCATAGAATAAGCGAATCTTTCTACAGCCCTTTCGAAATCTAAACTGGCGAAAAAGCTGTCAACTTGTAGCTTCAATTTGTTTTCACATAGATTTCTACTTTGGACTGTTTCAACTGTATATTTGAATTTTCACCAACTGGGATGCTGGTAGTTCCATCCGGTTGGATAAAAAACACTTGTAAAACTCCGCCGTTTTCATTAAAAATTGTTTTCGAATATCGGTATTAGTGCCACCATCTAATCGTCGAGTAAATATAATGAAGAACTAACTGACTTAGTGAATGGGAAAAATAGGCCTCCTTGAGCTTACCAATCGTCGCAATCTGCACAAATACGCGAATGATCATCCTTTTGTTTTCAGAGTGTGTATTTTAGCCGAAACTTGTGGGGACTAGTGATAAGAATAATAACGGGGACTTTTCTCCAAAAATAATTCGAAAATTTCTGACGCTATAAAATCCAGGCCTGCTTTCAAATTTTGCTATGATATCCTTATTTGAGGCACCCTATTACAACATTAAGCTATGAGTGATTGCCGATCATGTGAACCCGTTGACCAACCGCCTAAGAGCTTATCGACACCTAGCACTCGAACTCTAAAGAGGACTAATAATAATGACTTGAAACTATCTTATTGACACCACCTTGGAAAATTTATGGGAAATTCTGCCATCGGACGGCAGGCGCCTCCCACATAGTTCACAAGGTAGAGCACTCGATGCGAATTCTGAGTTACAGCGGTTCTTTTTGTTTGCAGACGCACGTTTTATGGCTCTATCTAGTCGACGCCAATATAATTGTTTCTACACACTAGACAGTGCAGACTATTTCAATTTTGGGCACAGGCTAAAATCGTATTAAGAAATATTAATCCGTCCCCGAAAAAATCATACACGGCTGGCCGAAAACGCTTCCACT